GAGGTCATAGTCCCAGGGTTGTGGCATCGAGCCCAAATCCGCCTCTGCACTGAGCATGGAGCCTGCTTAACATTCTCTCTCTCTTTCCCTCTGGCCCTCCTCTCTGCTCACACACTCTCTAAAATAAAAAAGCAAATAAAAGGAGGAAAAGATTTCACTTTCATTCTCTAAAGAAAGATCATCCCTCCTTTACTTCCTGCGGTGAATTTACTCCTACAGTCTGCCCCATTGTTCCCCAATGCTTGTCTCCAATGCACGTTTTTGAACTTCACTCGAAGAGTAATTGTGTTCAGAATAACATCACAGTATGTAAAATGGACGGTCGTGTTGGTTGCATCGCACTGTGAATATACTTAATGCCGCTGAATTTGTATACTTAATGGCTAAAATGGTAAATGTTACGTTATATATGTTTTATCACAATAAAAAAATGCAGGGATGCCTCGGTGGCTCAGTCAGTTGGGGATCTGACTCTTGATTTTGGCTCAGTTCATGATCCCGGGGTCATGGGATGGAACCCACACTGGGCTCCTCACTGAGCATGAAGCCCGCTTAAGATTCTCTCTGTCCCTCCCCCCCTTCCCTGCTCACGCATGCTCTCTCTAAAACAAAACAAAACAAAAATGTTTTTTAAAAATGCAGAAGAGAAAAAACAGAAAAAGTAACTGAGGATGGGGTTCACATCCTTAAATAGCTGTGATGCACTGTAGAATCAGTTTCAACTTTTTTAAGAACAAGAAAACGAGTTCTTCTTAGAACGTTATATTGAGGGGCAGGACTAGCTCTTGGAAGAGTGGCGGCGAAGGCCTGATCACACGGGGAGAGAGAGTGAACACCTATGTGTGTGCACCCAACGTTTGTTACAATTTCTCAGTGCAAAGAGACCTTTTATGTGTTTGGCATGAAATGAACGTTGCTGGAGTACCACAAATTTTGCATTTGGGTTAGACTTTGCGCTGGAAGCCAGTGATGGGGTTCAAAGAGCTATAAAAACACAAGCCCTTTTGCTAACACAAATCTAGAAATAAGCTGATGAAGTGTGAAGAGGAGGAGGAGGCAACAGCATGGATAAAGCTAGCAAAGCATGAAGCAGAGACCTTGAGAAAGACTGAACCATAAAGATATTTTCTCAAAGGGGGACTTACTTAAGACACACACACACAATTCGGGGTGCCTGGGTGGCTCAGTTGGTTAAGCGTCCAACTTTGGCTCGGGTCATGATCTCGCAGTTGGTGGGTTTGAGCCCCGCATCGGGGTCTGTGCTGATGGCTCAGAACCTGGAGCCTGCTTTGGACTCTGTGTCTCCCTCTCTCTTTCCCCCTCCCCCTCTCATGCTCGGTCTCTCTCAAAAATAAACATTAAAAGAATACAAAAAACATACACACACAATACTATTCAATGCTGTACAAGCTACATTACACAAGGAAGGGAAACCAAGTAATTTACACATCGTTTGAAAACTTACATATGTTAGGAAGTTTAACATGGAAAGGATCTTATGACAAATGAGTTGTGTTAATGATCACCAAGTGTTAGTATTGGAGGGGAGGAAACAGATCTCTAAGACTCCCACAGCCTCTAAGAAACTGTCAATCTGCCAGCCCCATACTTAGCCAGTCTTGATTCAAGTATTCTAGACATGTGAGCCTTACAGAAAAGACACCAAATAGTAATTATATGTTTCATCCTGAAGAACAAATCAGCAATTAGCGAAACTACATAATCACGTTTTTCTTATTGGCTACTTTTAATGATGCTGCAAAAGGCATTTGAATTTTAGCCCAGCGCACAAACAATGTGGCTGATTTCAAACTCGGCGTCCATGTTCATTTTCTCCATTTTGAATGGGCTTTTCATAGAATCTATAACAGTACATTTTCGGAAGAGGTTCGCATTCTTGGAGAATGTCTGGCCACTAAATATTGAATAACAAATAGTATGAACATTCGCATTTGGTTTTAAGGTACTAAAAACTGTGAATCAAAGCTGCTCTAGTTTATTGTACCTTTAAAATATATCTATGCCCTCAGGCTATTTCTATTACATAAAGTTTTATGTGGGAGTATTTTTCTTCTCCTCCAAAAGAATAAAGACAATTCTTTCTGGGGTGGGGGGTGGGGGTGGTATTTTCCTCTCTCTCCCTAATTCCTCAAAGCATCTGAACAAACGATTTCCCCTATACTTGAGACAAGCTAAGGTTCTAACCTCTCAGAAACAATCTCATAGATACAAATCTATAAAGATAATGTTTGACTACGTTTTAAAAATTCTGCATCTGCTGAGGTTTCAGAAAGCTGTTTCTGGAAGTGGTTCCCCCCCCCCCTTCCTGGTTTAGGATTAACGTAACCATGACAACCAGGGCACGCTCTGATCCAGCAAAGAATGGCTTCTCTCAAAGGCCTTTGGCCCCCTTTTTCTTACCATGAATACCTATTAGAATATTATCCAAAGTCCTATAACCCACCAACCCTCAACAAGTCTAATCTTAGGACATCAGAACACTGCAGATTCCCTCATGGCCCGTTGCTAGTTTTTGGCCAGGTGGGGGGATGTACTAAGTACACGGGGCTTGAGAGACACACACACGCGCTGGGCTAAGTGCCGAAGGAACAGAAATCAATACAAGTATCCCTGAGTTGGGGCTACAGACAAACAACCAGCTAAATATATGGTAAGTGCTATGTGGGGAGGGGGAGGGGAGAGGGGAGAGGGAGACCTCTCAGGTGTCTCTTCCTAGAAAAATACTAATCCTTTTCGATCAGGGTTTCACCTCTATGACTTCATTTGACCTTAATTACTACCTTACTCCAAATATGGCCACAATAAAAGTTAGGGCTTCAATTTATGA